CGTGAATGCTCCAACACTGGAAGTTTTTTTTAAAGATGCTGGATAACCACTTGTCTGAAATGGTGTAGGGTTTCCTGCCTAGGCAGGGGGTTGGACTAGAAGACCTTCAAGGTCCCTTCCAGCTCTTGTTATTCTATTTTAAGAAATGAAGACAGCCTCTTAAGGCCAATAATGTCTGAATTCTTGTTCTCGCCTTACCCTTTGCCATTTAGCCTGAAGGTCTTTGTGGCTTTATGGTTATTAAAGGCTTAGCTGGGAGTGAACATTTCTTTCGGTCAGGAAAAAAAGAAACGAGACAGAAATATCAGGCCGCGCTTGTAGCCTTGGATTCCTGAATCAAGTGTGGACTCCGGGTGTGCGCAGCAGAGCAAATATCCAGGTTCATCAGGACATGAAAGCCAGCTGGGTGAATTTTTGCCAGTGATTCAGCCCAATCCACCTCGCAGGGTTGTTGTTGTGGGGAAAAGAGGAGGAGGGAGGCGTATTAAGTCTATTCACCACCTTGAGTGATTTATAAAATAAATAAAGTTGAGGTTCAAACAAACAAACGGCTGGTCCCAAATACCGAAGTGCCTTCAGTCGAAACTGTTCATGTCTTGGTCTGTTCCATCACTTAAGGGTAGAGAGCCTGAGAAGAGGAAACAAAACGTTCTTGCGTTTTAAGGTACAGGATTATAAATCTCCGTGTCCAGGTGCGTATGTTTGTGCACAAATACAATGTGGGTTTATGTAAAACATTTTGCAATATGGATTGAGCAAAGCCTTGAGCTAGTCTTTCCGATATAGGACATTTAATGACCAAACTATTTAGTCTCGCATGGCTTCCTTGTTCCTTCTACTTTTCTTCCTGGTTTCCTTTCCAAAGGGAAGAAGACAACTTTGGGCTTGTGGTAGTTTGTGTTGACGCTTTGTGGTGTTTTCTCTTTTGGAGGCCCCAGGGACCGGCTTCAAACATCCGACACTTTAAAAATGAAAGGCATAAAATGAATAAGATGAGCTGCTCCCTGTGAAAAGAGTTCAACACCCGAGAAGTGACGGTGCCGAGCCTCCCACACCAGCAAAACCTCGACTAGATTCAGACAACACGTTGATTCGCTCTGAGGAATATCCCCACCTCTTTTTTTAACACAACCTATAATGGTTGGCTAGTTCTTCTGAGGCTTAAGTGGAAACCAGGACGGTGGGTTTCATTTTGTGGCACATGCAGAAAGGAGAGCGCAGCTGCGACCCTTTATCAAACCATGTCAAGGTCAACGGACAGAGGCCTCATCACCACCTGGAGATGCCCACATGATGCTATACACAACTTTCAATTGGATGAGCCATTTGAACCATTGGGGGTGGGAACGTTGCATTACTTTGTCTATGTGATTTACGTGCCCATTTTCTCAAATTCAGAATTCTTTTTTTGGCTACCACTTGATTTCCAGTGAAAGATAATCTTTTCTCTAATTAAAAGAGTCTAAGTATTTCTTTCTTGGATTTTGAATGGAGCATCACCTGACATTATTATGAATCTGAGAAAATGGGCCCGTAAATAACATATAAAGCACTAAATGATGCACAACCATCTCATAAGAAATTTGCAGATAAAAAGAGAACTCCACAAAAACCATATCAGGTGGGTGACAAGGTTTTTTTTTTATCCACCAGGTATTTGCAAACCACCCAAAAGTCAAAAAAGCTTGTCCCTAAGTATGTTGGACCTTTCCCAATTGAACAAATTGTAAACCCTGTGGCAGTCCAACTGAAATTACCCAAAACTCTTCGACGGATCCACCCTGTTTTCCATGTTAGTTTATTAAAACCTGAACATACCTCTGACTTGAGACCAACTCAGGTTGATCCTCCTGTACCATTGCTAATTGAAGGTGAACAACATTTCGAAGTTAAAGACATTTTGGATTCTCGAAAACGAAGGGGTCGACTCCAGTATTTGGTTGCTTGGAAACATTTTCCTCCTTCCCAGGCTGAGTGGGTGATTGAGAAGGATGTTAGAGCTCCTACACTTATCAAGGCATTTCGTACTAAGTATCCTGATAAACCCTAAGAGAATAAGTATGTTGCTGTTGTCTATTACTTTTTTTTTCTTTTGTAGGACTAACGTCTTTTTTTTAGGAGGGCCGAATGTCAGCCTTCAAGACTTTCTCCCTTTGCTTTGCATCTTTCGGCTGTCATAAGTAACGGGGGGAGGAGGGGGAGAAGGATTATGGGAAGTGAGCTGGAGGTGTTACAAACCAGAACTGTATAAACTGGGGGGGGGGGGGGGATACATTCTTGCTTAGGTTTCTATCCTATGCTATGTGCAGCTGCGACCCTTTATCAAACTATGTCAAGGTCAAAGGACAGAGGCCTCATCACCACCTGGAGATGCCCACATGATGCTATACACAACTTTTAATTGGATGAGCCAACCGAACTATTGGGGGTGGGAACGTTGCCATTACTTCGTATATGTGATTTACGTGCCCGTTTTCTCGGATTGAGAATTCTTTTGTTACTACCGCTTGATTTCCAGTAAAAGATATCTTTTCTCTGATTAAAGGAGTCTAAGCATTTATTTCTTGGATTTTGAATGGAGCACCAGCTGACAGAGAGTTTCATTTGGTCCCAAATTAAAAGAATGACATGGAAAAGTCTCTCTCTCTCTCTCTCTCTCTCTCTCTCTCTCTCTCTCTCTCTCTCTCTCTCTCCCTCTTTCTCTTTCTCTTTCTCTTTCTCTCTCTCTCTCTCTCTCTCTTTCCTTGGGCTCATCAAAACACAAGAAGAACACGGAGGCATGAAGTCAAACGGACAGGAGGGATGTTGGGAAGCCACGTTAGAAAGTTGGACTTCACAGAAAGAGCCGTCGAAGCTTGGAACCAGCATCCAGCACAGGGGATGGGCCAGTCCTCAGTAACTGAGTTTGAACATGGCTGGGATAAAGTTGCTCATCCAAAGAAAATAGAGAAATAAAATAAAACCACATCAATTGTGACGGACCACAAGGTCTTTTTCGGCTGTTCAGCTTCCTATCCTTCTGTGTCGTAGGGAGTTTGCAGGGGAGACTTGGTGAAACCCCCTGTGTGGTTTGTGGTTCGCTTTTCTTCAAAACCCAGCCGCTCATTCAGCAGATTGTGTGAATGAAGCGGCCGTTCCCTTTTCTTAACCCGGGTTGAGGTCTTGTCCTGTTGTGGGAAGGGAGCGAAGCCCTCCCTGGGGAGGATGCTGGGAGCTGTTCATCCCTGCAGGTCCTGAAGGAAAGTTTGACAAATCTCGCTCACAAATCTGACAACAGAAGCCCTGAGACCCAGATGGAGGTGGGGGGGCTCCCCTTGTCCGGATGCCCTCAAGGGGGCTATAATCAGCCATGTATCTGGGGGGGCTTTCCCTTGGATTGCTGCACCTCGCTGAGGCTTGGCTGGATGACCTCAAATTTCAGATTTATCCCTGTGAGATCTCACCTGGCAGAATGGAAATCCTGTGAGATTAAGTTTTTGTGCGTAGGTGTGTGTGTGCGTGTGCGCAAACAAGCTACATCATGGCACTTAGACCAAAACTTGCACACAAAGGAATTTCTCTTTCTCTGCAATCCCCCCCCCCCAAAAAAACAAAAACCCCCCCCCCCCCCCCCGCCTTGCCTATAAATGCCTCCCTTCCCTTTATAAGAGGAAAAGCCTCGAATTGCCAGACTTCAGCAGAGTTGCTCCCTGGGAAGGCAAAAGGGCAGGTGAGTGCAGCTTTCTCACCTGTACACACCTGACAGGGGAGTCCCCTGCGCCAGGCCACTCCTAGGTCTGTGTCTCTCCACCGGAAGGGATCTCTCTTCCAGGCGGCTGCAGGCAATGCTTATGATTCAGCGGGTGATCTGGGAGGCAAGAACCAAGGGATCTTTTTTGGGGGGGGGGGGGGGGGGGCCCCCCCCCCATCAAGACATGCTAGTTCAGATATACTCTAACCCAGACTTTGAAGTCCACCGGTCTTAAAGTTGCCAAGTTTGGAGACCTCTCCTCAAACCCATTAAAGCCGTTGTGCGACCCAGGAGGGAGAAATGGGGGGGCCGGGTGAGGAGCCCCAAACTGGGAGACAAACTATGGAGCTTAGTGGTGATGGGGGGGTCCCCCTTCCTGAGGAGCCCCTCCCAAAGGCCTTGACCCCTCCCCCACTTCTTCATCTCCCCTCTTTGCCTCTCTCTGCAGGGAAGGAAGGAAGACCATGAAGCGATTCCTTTTTCTAAGTCTCGGCTTGCTGGTTGTGGCCCTCTCCTTAAGGGGTGAGTTCGAGAAGAGGGTCTCTTGTGTCCGGAGGGATCAACTCTCTTGCCTTGAACCCCTTTCTGAATTTGTGTCCCCACCACCCACCCCAATATCCTCTTCCTGAAGTTGCTTTTGTTCACGTTTGGCTTACGGTGCAATTTAGATCCCACCGTATGTCTCTGTTGGCAAGATCTTCCTCTTTCCAGCCTGGTGCCTTAACTCCTTAGGCCAAAATTGGCTCCGTTGGGGATTCGCAGCCCAAATTCTACAAATTGAACCAAGACTAAACCTCACCAGACTTTGGACAATTTGCAAATCGCGGTCGCTGCATCCGTAACCCAAGCTGGATTGAATTTACTGTCATCAAAGATGGTCAAGAATGGCTGCTATACCGTCTGTGATAAAGAAAGTCTTAGAGCGTGTCGAGATGGATAGGCTGACAATAGAAATAAAAGACAGAGGGGAAACTGAATATTATTTGATTTGGAACACGTGGTATAATTGGTTAAATAGTAGATATAAAGATATTACAGTGGAACTATAGATGGCTGTGGGTGTAGTATTTAGGTTTTTTCGGGTATTTTCCCACGTCTTAATATTTGTGCTTTTATTATAGCGACAATGTATGACAAACATATGTATGCCGAAACTGAAAAGTTGCAAAGAATGAAAATGGTGTTATAAAATGAGGAAAATTGTTTAATAAATTTAAAAAAAAAAAAGATGGTCAAGAAGGTTCTGCAGAACCAGCTGCCTTCTCCTCTTCCGCTTCCTCCTCCTCCTCCTCCATCTCCTCTTCCTCTTCTTCCTTCTCTTCCATCTCCTCCTCCCCGCTTATCCTTAGCATCTTCCTCCTCCTCCTCCTCCTCC